TGAACCCGCAGTCTCAGGCAATCCACTCACCTCAGCCTCCCAAAGGCGCGGGATTACAGGTTGAGCCACCAAGCCCAGCGACATCCATACTTGATGTTAAACAGAACCCCTTAGCCTCCCACTACTTTAATAACCTACACCTTCATTTCCCTTCAACAGCTCTGAGACAGTTGTGCTGGTTTTTGTCTTTACCTTGAAATATTGAGCTCTGGCCGGGCGCAGTGGCTCAAGTCTGTAATCCCAGCACTTTGGGAGGCCGAGTTGAGGGAATTGCCTGAGCCCACAGGTTTGAGAACAGCCTGGGCAACTTGGCGAGACCTCATCTCTATAGTAAATAAAATAAAAAAACTAGCCGGGCATGGTAGCACCTACCTGTAGTTCCAGTTACTTGGAAGGCAGAGGCAGAAGGAATGCCTGAGCCCAGTAGATCAACGCTGGGGTGGCCATGAGCGTGCCACGGCACTTCAACTCAAAAAAATATATATATTGAGCTCTGAGCTTTTCGATTATGTATTTGTTACAAAATCTGGTCTTCAACCACACTTCTTTGTTTTGGTTTTTTTTTTCTTAAGAAGCAGGATCTCGCTTTGTCACCCAGTCTGGCGCACAGTGGCATAATCATAGCTCACTACAACCTTAAGCTCCTGGGCTCAAAAGATACTCCCACTTCACCTATGCAGTAGCTAAGCCTACAAGTGTGCATCACCATGCCTTGCTAATTTTTTAATTTTTTTGTAGAGATGGGTCTGGTTAGGTTGCCCAGGGTGGTCTCAAGGGATCCTCTCGCCACCCAAAGAGCTGGGATTACAGGCATGAGTCACCGCACCTGGCCCATCAACCACATTTCTGATTGTCTCTTTATTCTCCAAGTACAGCAGGCTCCCTGTAGATTTTGCTTCTTATAACCCCCATCTTGCTGAGTCTAGCAGGTTGAGGTTACAGTGGCCATAAGCTTACCGTTGCACTCCAGTTTGGGCAGCAGAGTGAGACTCCAATTTAAAAAAAAAGGAGTAATTTTACTCATTGCTTATCATTTATTCCTCAATCCATCATGGCCTGACCACTGCCATCAATGCCACTACACTATGAAAACTGCCTTTCAAATGAAATCTTGGATTCTCAGAGTCAATCATATCTCCCACAATATCACTAGCTATGTAAAACTGCTCCCCATTTTATCTTTCTGTCTGCAAATTCCAATTCTGGATCAATCCAACCATATTGTCTGCCCTCCTGTGTCTTTAGGTTGTTGAAGAAAGTGTAAAATTCATACTATTGGGCCCCATTACAAACATATTATCCTTAACTAACTGGGCCCTCAATATGTTTAGTAATTTTTTTAAAATCTTTCATCTATTCCCCTTTCATGTTCCATTTAACATTGTTATCACCATAATACTCAAGTTAGAAACTCACCAGTTTGTTCAGTCTCCAGAGATAACTGACACAAGTAACTAGTCACATTAATAAAATAAGGTCAGCTGGGCTCAGTGGCTCATCCTGTAATCCCGCACTTTGGGAAACTGAGGTGAGTGGATTACCTGAGCCTGCAGGTTCAAGACCCGCCTGGGCAACTTGGTGAGATCTCATCTCTACAATAAATCAGAAAATCAGTCGGACATGGTAGCGCGTGCCTGTAATTCTGGCTACTCGGAAGGCTGAGCCAGAAGGATCGCCGGAGCCCAGCAGGTCGAGGCTGCGGTGGCTGGGAGCGGCCACTGCACTCCAGTCTGGGCGACAAAGTGAGACTCCAACTCAACTAAATAAATAAATAAATAAAATAAGGTCATCTGTTGAAGTCTCTCACCTTCCTTTCCTTTTATCACATCATTAACCACTTTGACTTCTATCCTTTTGGTATCAAAGAATGAAATGCCTGACACATTTCCTAGGTAAACTTTCCCCTCAACCTACAAAACTGTTTCACCCATACTTAAGAGGAAAACACACATCTGCCATTATGGAAACAATAGTTTCAAAACTAGACAGACTTGTTCAAATCCTTGCCTACAGTCTTTCCATCTGTAAAAGAGGAATATCGACACCTAAACCACAAGGCTATTGTAATCTATAAAGCATCTTTATGATACTTGGCATATATCATATTTTCTTTTGAGTTGGAGTCTCACTTTGCCACCCAGACTGGAGTGCAGCAG